TATCATTAGCCCATTGTTTTGGTTGTTTGCTATGAGGGTCTGTTGAATAGTATGTTGATCATGTATATTTCTCTTCTCTTAAATTTTGAAGTCTAAATCCATTCACTTTCAAAAGTTTGTTCAATGTTCAATTATCAAGTCATGTTCAGATTATTTTTCAGAATTGCAATTATGGTCGAAGTGCCTACATGGTTGATCTTAACGCATTAGTAAATAGTTTAGGTTAGTTTAGATTAATATTGTATCCCTCATGACATATCAATAAATTGAAAAACTGCAGAATAAAGTATTCAGCATTTGTGGGTTTTTTTTAGAATTTGTGCAAATGGCTATTTAAATGTGGATTAAGCCTCATGGGTTATAATGCTGAATGGCCTTCTTTAGAAGCGTCCAGGCCTGTTAATGGCCCAAATGAGGCTGCCTAGTCCAAACCAGGCTCGTGTGACCCATGCCCTTTTGCTTTCGTTCCTGGATTCGTTTCCAAGGCCCAGTTACCCCTTCGTTTCCAGCAATCTTGATCATTTAAATTTTAACAGCTTAAGGGACTTGTTTGCAGGCCCAATTCTTTTTAAATAACTAGAGACTTTCCTTTATATGGCCATACCTATAGTCAATAGCCTTGCATTGAATTGCAAGATTAGTTTAAAAAAAATAAAAACCTATAGTGTGCTTTAAACGAAATGCAAGTCTTTTAAAATAAATCAGAGGTGTGCCATTCACAATTGAATCACCTAATTTATGGCCCTCACATTAATATTACAGCTTAGATATTAAATAATCTTAAACACTCGTAGCTTGCTTTAGGCGCGACTTAGACTATTATTGTGATTATGTATACGTTCGCGTAACATAATTATGAATTTCGTTCTAAAAATAAATCGAGGGATGCATTCATGAAACTTCAACCAAACTTTCTTAATATTAATAAAGCGTGATTAATTGTGGACACATACGCGTGACATGATTTTTGATGCGCCAAACGAAATGTGTACACGTACGCATGACTTAATTCCTTAATTACGAATAATCAAGCATTAAAAGCGGTAAAGGGATAAACGCACATAGGTTCTAAAAATAGGTAATTAGACAATCTAAGCCAAGTATAAATCGCTAAGCGACCGTGCTAGAACCACAGAACCCGGGAATGCCTAACACTTTCTCCCGGGTTAACAAAATTCCTTATCTAGAATTTCTGGTTCACAGACTTTTAAATAAAGTCAAATATTTCCTCGATTTGGAATTTTAAAAATAAACTGGTGACTTGGGACACCAAAAAATAAATTATTCCAAGTGGCGACTCTAAAAAATTTTAAATAAAATAATCTCATTTCGATTAATGTCACTTTAATTAAAAAAACTCTCTTATATCCCCTCTCGGGTGGTAAAAAAGGAGGTGTGATAGATGATATATTGAAGTTATAGCGGGATTGATTCTTGAAGTTGTAGCTGATTATGACCTTTGGATATGGCATGCATATTTTGGTATGCCCGGCACTATTAATGACATTAATGTTTTACAGTGATTACATATGTTTTTCAATCTTGCTAAAGGTATTGCTCTTCCCGTCCATTATGTTATTCAAGGAAAAGTATGATGTGGGTTATTATTTAGGTGACAGTATATATCCAAAATGGTCTACCCTTGTGCAAACTCTTCGTGAGCCACGCTCGCCAAAGAAGAAATATTTCGTGATGAAACAAGAATCATGCCGAAATGATGTTGAACGTACATTTGGAGTTTTGCAAGCTCGCTCTGCAATTATTGCATGACCGTCACATTTTTGGAGAAAAGAAGTGCTACATGGTATAATAACTACATGTATTATACTGCACAACATGATAATCGAGGATGAGAGTGCTCTTAATGCACCATTCAAGATGCTTGGGAAGCTGCAACTCCAACAGTAGAAATAGTAGTAGATGAAAATCACTTATTTGTATAATTTTTAGGTCGACACAAAAAAAAAAAGATTAAGGGCAAAGATGCTCATTTTGCACTTCGTAATGCATTAATAGATTATTTATGGGAGCATACTAGAGGTGAAAGTTGAATATTTAAGTAGTATTTAAACAAAATTTTAAACTACATGTAATATGTATTGAATTATCTTGTATTTCATTGATTTCACTTTTATTTGAATTATCTATTAATATGTATAATCTATAATATTTGCTTACAAAATTATATTATTTAATAATTTATGGTATAAAATAATTTTTTTTAAATGGTTATATAAGAAAGAAATATGAATTATATGGGATGAATTTGTAAAAAAGAAGAAAAAAATAGGATTTGTTTAATGAAAATAAGAAAATAAAATTTGAATAAAAGATAATAACATAATATAGAAGAGAGAAGAATATAAAAAGGAATATTTTTTTTTGGAGTAAAAAATGGACTAATGGTTGGAGTTAGTTTGCTCCATTTTGGAGTAAAGATTTGGAGTGAGGGGTAGGAAATGGCCTTAATAATACGTTGCAAGCTGTGGAATTAAACAGCCTCGTGCAGAAATATGGTAAGGCTATATATACTAGACCTAACATAATTTCATTATTCTCAAATATAATGGGAGTTTAGTGCATGGTCTGTCTTCTCAAGTACCGGTGAAGTAATAGCCCAACAGATCTACCTCAAGTATTTTAGTTTTGCAGTGTGTTTTATCAATTGGTTTAGACAACTAATAAGAATCATTGTCTAAAGAATCACATAAGAAACCTTTTTTAGTTTTATTATACATTGGGGGGATGGGAGAGGAAATAGAGGAGCGATTATAAGGCCGGAGATTGAATTCTCACCAATAAAGTAAAAGTTTATGTAACCAACCAACTAGACTACTGTGATTTCCCCGACAAAAGAAACCAGTTACTTATGATTAGTGGTGGCAAAATAGTTAAAGAGAAAATAGTTAACCATCCATATTATCCAAAAGTGAGTTGGATAATGAATTTTTAAAAACGGATCAAATATGGATAAAAACCATATTATCCATTTAGAAAATGGATAACCAATGGGTAACCAATGGATAATCAATCAGTTTAACTTTTATATTTGTAAAGTCTCAAATTGGGGGTTCCTCAAGTTTGGCAAACTAGGAAATATCCCAAAAATGATCATATTCAAGAAGTCATGGATAATATGGTTACCCATATTATCCGCCAGTCAACCCGTTTTTTATCCGTATTAAATATGGGTCGGAACGGATAATTTATCCTTTTTTTTTATTATCCTTATTGACCCGAATCATATCCGAATCCGACCTGCCCGTTTGCCACTCTTACTTATGATATAATAGAGGACACTATGATGGTTTCCTTTCTAGGTACTGACTGATCCATTGGAGAAAGAGAAAGAAACATTTGAGTTACAACCAAGACTTCTGCTCATTAGTTAGAACTAGAAGGGTAAATACGTAGCGAACTATCGTCTGGTACTCTGATTTGGATGAAATTCAAAAATAGCCAGATTTATAAATAGTAGCTGAAAAATAGTCACAGTTTCAAAGGCAATCGAAATTTAGCCATTTTTCATGATAAGATAAATCTGAACAAAAACACTGTTCAAATCCGAAAAATATTCCAGCATAATATATTGGAGTTCCAGATGGTTTTCATACACAGGTGCTCCAATCTCCAGTATATTATGCTGGAACTTTCCGTGTTGGCTGTTGCAACAAAATAGTGGCTATTTTTCAATGACTTTGCAAATGCTGGCTATTTTTCAGGGAGAAATTCAAAAATAGCCAGATTTACAACTGGTCGTTCAAAAATAGCTCAGTTTCAAAAGTAATCGAAATTAGCCACTTTTCATGTAAAGATAAATCTGAGCGAAAACATTGTTCAAAACCCGAAAAATATACCAGTATATTATACTGGAGTTCCAGCATAAGTATGTTTGAACTCCAGCATATTATACTGGAGTTCCAGCATAAGTATGTTTGAACTCCAGCATATTATACTGGAGTTTCAGGATAAGTATGCTGGAACTCCAGCATAATATGATGGAGTTCCAGCATAAGTACACCAGAACTCCAACATAATATACTGGAGTTCCAGCAAGTATAATTGTCCAGTATAATACTAGAGTTTGGAGAACCGTTGCTCCAATCTCCAGTATATTATACTGGAGTCAGCAGGGTATACCGGTCCATCATAATATGCTGGAGTTCATACACAGGTGCATCGAACACCAGTATATTATGCTGGACCGGTCTCTATTGCAGCAAAATAGTGGCTATTTTTCATTGACTTCGTAAAGCTAGCTATTTTTGAATGACCAGTCCGAAAGCTGACTATACTGTGCTATTTTTACTATATTTTTAATGACCAGTCCAAAAACTGACTAGCCCGTGCTATTTTTACCTCTGATTTAAGCTGATCCAGATATCCTGGACTTAAATCAACTGGGCTGCAAACTGGCCCAGTCAAATGGAGGGGCAATACTTTTTTGTTTCATCAGGGGAGCAGTACAATGATCAAGAAATGCTTTGGACCCGAGATACTCACAATTTTTTTTTTTTTTTTTTTTTTTTTGAGGGTTGGGTTGGGAGGGGGGGGATCTACAAAATGTAACCACCACCAAAATAATGTACATCTTTTGTATATTAATATATAATATACATATTTTAAACATTATCATCGTGTATTTTTTTAATATTTGGCTAACTATTTTTATTATTTCTAGCCGATGGACCAATGTGTTAAAAGCCCAAATATTTATGTGCTTGTGAAAGTTCAGAAGACAACACGCAGACCATCTCACAATGGTTCTAGCATCATTTTCTTAGTTTGATGAGTATCACATCGACAAGGAACCTGTAGTTCCAAGGCATATCACATTCTATATATGGTCCATAGGACCCTTTTAACTTGCTATGAAGTATTTACGATCTGCTCTCTGTAATATTAAATCTTTTGCTTATTACCGTTGTGATTGGCTAGCTGACTTGATAAGGAATGAGCAGCAGTAGCAAATGAAAATTTAGAAGATAACACATGGGAGCTGCTAGAGAAAGCAATTAACCCATTTTATTCGCAATAAATAGCCTCAACTTTGTACTCGAATATAAGTCTAACGAATAAATAACACAATGTCTCATAGAACGGAATCCAAAGTAAAATTAAACATGTAAAATAGATAAGTAAGTTACTCACCAAAAGCTAAATGCAATCTACTTTGCCTTGTCATTCGAGATGGATAGCTTAGCCAAGTTTTCCCCAGTAGGGTTGAGCTCATCCCAGGCTTCGATCCAAGTGGCCATGGCTTCTGCTAGCTTTGTGAAATAGGGATCTATGTTGGAAAGTTTCTCCTTGACCTGTTTCGCGAGCTCGATGTAGCACTGCTGGACAGTTGTGCACTCTTTAGGAAGGGTTACAGCTTGGAAAAACGGGATGATCTCTTCTTGCCAATAGATGCCTTTGTACTCCTTTTTCAGGTTGACAAAAGGGTTGCTTGCTTTGCTATGCCAAATGTAGGGAAGACCAGTCTTGATTCCTAGGCCCAAATGGTCACATATCACCTACAATTTTGATGATTCTATGTCAGATTCCTTCATCCATTAGACATTAAAATGACACACTTTAGTAATTTCCACTTCAAACATTACAACTCTATGAGACATCCAAGGGACCGTAGATGAATAAGCGCTCTACTTTACGAAGATAAATAATGATAGAAAGATATATGCTATCAATACCTTGGTACACCAGCCAGCCCACATATCGTCGTAACGACCAATTGGCTGACCATCACCCATGAGCCCAAAGTACATTGCAGGTCCAATCAGCTCACGGTTGAATGCCAAATTCATTCCACACATGGGAAATAAAGTGCCTTTGGGAATGGTCATAACTGCATCTACATACCTAGTGACAAGTACAGAAATTGATACTAATTTCAAAAATGAAAAAAATAAAAAAATAAAAATCTCTGAGTAATGACCAAACAGATAAGCTTTACAAATACTACATCCCTTCATTCCCTTTGACTTGTCACATTTTGTCTTTTGCATGCCCCTTAAAAAAACATTAATTTAAAGGATAATTTGACTAAACTCCCTTATTTATTCTTTGATCTCAATTTATTTTTACCGTTGCTTTCACCACATTAATCTCTCTCGAACATTTATTAGAGTAAGGGTAAAGGTGGGAGAAAATATTAATTCTTTCTTAATTTAATAAAAAGACAAGTATTTCGGAACAACTATTAAAATAAACATGACAGCTAAATTGGAACAGAGGAAGTATAAAATTTGGATGCACTAATTATTTCTGGCAAGCAGCCAGACGCTACAACTATGAGTCTATGACTAATTAGATAAGCTCTACAACTTTTGTCTTATGGAAAGTGAACTTGCCTGGTGTTCCTTTCACGAGGCTTAACAAGTTGTGTGGGTGCATCATAATCAGGGATGTTGAGCCAAAGCCCATGAGAAACAGCTGTGGCAGCCCCTTCACGCATACTGAAAGGATATCCACGAACGAAATCTGCACCCTCTCTGTATGGATCATACAGAGTGTTGAAGAAATGCGGGGTAGATGGACAAAGAAGGTTCTTAATGTGCTGTTCGAGTGCATTGATATCTTTGCCAGATGGGTCTTTGGCTACCTGCACATCAGCGTCACTTCAGCATGTTTGCAAATAAATGCTATATCCCAAACATTAGCTACTGAACCTATAGATCATGGCATCGTAACAAGATAATCAAATAGAATCTTCACATTTAAGAGATATTAAATAATTGGGTTAATTAGTCAAAAAGGGTGACAAAATCGCCAATGTATGGCAATGTCCCTCGTTAGAGAAGCAACCATCAGATATCAAGGCCATTGAAATGGATTTCATCATCGACATGGCAGAAGTAGAGAATGCTACAAATTTGGTGGTGAAAATTCAGTCAAACCCCTTTAAACAACAGATCAACAAAAGCTATCACATTAAGGGCTTCAAATTCAGAAATAGAAGTATCATGATGGCTCAAACAGCAGTGAACAAATAAAACTCATACAAGATTGACCTTAATGAACGTAAAAGAAAAGGTGACGAATACCACAAGAAAATAAAGACATTAAAGATATGCACAAAAGCACCAAGATAAGCAAGCTGCCTCTTTTATCTGAAAAAACTACACCAAAAAAACGAATCCTAATGCAGCAAAATAGTAAGATCATATCTTAACTAGTATAACAGTATCTTGAATTCAGTCTCAGCCCAGTTAATTTCACATTAAACGTATAGATCAGCTAAAATCTTCCAACAAAGACCAGATAAAACTAAAACAAAAGAAGCACTTAATAGATCAATATCAACAAACAACAACACTTAAATTCCAAAACTAGCTCCGATCCGCTAAATGAATCCACTATACTTAAACATATATATACTAGTACTAAATAATGAAAAACGCTACATACATCAAAGGCTCTGCAAATATTATACTCCTATATAACAACAGATCCCCAAGATACACTTAATTGGACCTCAAATTTCTTGTCCAAATAAAAGCATATTCAATGTCATTCAGTTGGAGAGATCTATATAAATTACAAACCCTCTAAAAACTAGATCTTAAACCCCAAAAATTCATAAAGATCCAATTTTTTCAACACAAAATAGGGTACAAGAAGGGCAAAAGAGGAAATTAGCAGTATACTTACAAAGCAATCATCATCAATGGTGTAGATATACTTCTTCTTGGAAACCATGTAACCAAAGCAGCGACAAGCAGAGTCCTTAAAAGAGATGCAAGAAGCCTTAGGACCAAGAATCCTGTTAATATCATTCCTATTATAAAGCTCATAATCAAATTCTTCAGGGACATGAATGGTCTTAGAAGGGTCACCATCTTGTACAATGATTAAATGGTATGATTGAAAAAAGGGTCTCCACATCTCAAGGAAGTCAAGATTCCTGATTGTGGGTATCACTATATCAAGCTCATCTTTCAACAATGGTGTTGGGGTGGCCATGGCCTCTCAACCTGATGAATTTGAGAGAGTTGTGAGGTTTTTTGGAGCTGAGTAACGGAAATTGGGGAGCTGTGTTCTATTTATATAGAGAGATCAACTGTCCAAAAGACAAGTTGTTAATTGTGACTAGATTCCTGTGTACTGATGTTTCGGGGAAGTTTATGAATGTACTTACTATTACTAATTTGAGATTAAAAAAAAAAAGGCGTTTTGTTTTATGGAATTTATTTATTTACCTTTTTAATAAGGAGAAAAAAATTTGAATGAGATCTTGATGGAGATTAAAAAGTAGGAAGTATATTAATATGTGTCTTAATTTAAGTTGCATTAAAGATTGGAACTTTCTCCAAAATTTTAATATTTTATTTATCAACAGAGAAATTTTAATTTCATTACTTTAACATAATTTGATATGGTAAATATTTGTCAGTACAATGTACAAGTGAACCCTTTTTCCGAATCTTTTATTTTCTAACCTCGTCTAGTCGAAAAGTTACTACGTAATAAAGTTTCAAAGCAATTAACTTGAAACTGTTAAAAAAGAATACTGGAGTTTCAATTTCAAACGGAACTCCGAGTCCTGACCTACTCCCTCCTTTGTGGGGTTACCTTTCTCCTAATATTCACACACCCACCTTCATCTGGAAAAATTTAATAAGACAAATCAGAGTTGAAAATTATTAAAGATGTAAAATATAATTAAAGGGCAAAGCTCCATTTGTTCCTAAAGTTGTTCTCCTGGTATACAAATAACGAATCTATTTTTTTGTCCGTTCCGAAAAAATAACTCCTTTTTAAATTTGGAAACAATTTAGCTTAAAGTTTTAATTTTACTTTTAATGATAAGCTTTTATAACCACACAAATACTCGAACTCCATTTTGACTTGTTAAGGACCACAAATTTAAAAAGTATTCATTTTTTTTAAATTTCATACCCTATCAAACAGATTCACATAAATTGAAAGTAGTAAATAAGACTAATAGGTCAAACTTACCATTTTCAACACAAACCGAAAGATGGATCAAGAAAGAAAGGTAGAAGTTAGACTAGGTCATATTTCGCTTTAGACGTTTTATTGAATTTCCTTTTCAGCTTCTGAGTTCGGACGACTTGCAAGACTGAGAATTGTTATGTTTACCGCTTTATCTATATCTATATATATACGGAGAAATTCAAAAATAGTGAGATTTACAAGTGATCATTAAAAAATAATCATAGTTTTAAAAGTAACTAAAATTTAGCCACTTTTTATGTAAAGATAAATCTGAACGAAAATACTGTTCAAAAGCCGAAAAATATTCCAGCATAATATACTGGAGTATCAGCATAAGTATAACATAAGTATATTGGAATTCCAGCATATTATAATGGAGTTCCAGCATAAGTATACTGGAACTCCAGCATAATATACTGGAGTTCCAGTATAATATACCGGTCCAGCATAATATGCCGGAAGTTCATACACAGATGCACCAATCTTCAGTATATTATGCTGGACCGGTCCCTGTTGCAGCAAAATAGTGGCTATTTTTCAATGACTTTACAAATGTTGGCTATTTTTGAATGACCAGTTCGAAAACTGGCTAGCTCGTGCTATATATATATTGCGGCTCCGCTCACAGATTTGCTGAAGAAGGATTACTCCTGGGAATGGACTGATTTGTGTCAAGGAGCATTCGAGGGTCTCAAATCAGCAATTACGGAGGAGCCTGTCTTGGCTTTACCTGACTTTTCTAAAGTCTTTGAGGTCCACACGGATGCATCTGATTTTGCTATTGGTGGCGTTCTAATGCAAGAGGGCCATTCAATAGCCTTCGTGAGCAGAAAATTGAACGATGCTGAACGTCGTTATATCGTCCAAGAAAAAGAGATGACGGCAGTGGTTCATTGCCTTAGAACCTGGCGTCACTATTTTTTGGGAGCTTATTTTATTGTCAAAACGGATAACGTGGCGACAAGTTATTTCCAGTCCCAAAAGAAGTTGTCACCTAAACAAGCCTGGTGGCAGGATTTCTTGGCGGAGTTTGATTATTCCTTGGAATATAAACCGGGGAAAGCCAATGTTGTTGCCGACGGATTGAGTCGGAAGGCAGTGCTGGCACCATTTGTTAGCACAACCACCAGTGATATTCTTGGTGCAGTCAAGCAAGGGATGCAACATGATCTGGTAGCGAAGCAACTTCTTGACTTGGCCAACCAAGGCAAGACAAAGAAGTTTTGGGTTGAAAATGGGCTTCTTTACACTACCGATAGGCATATCTTTGTGCCTAGTTGGGGAAATCTTAGGCGCACCTTTATCAAAGAGGGACACGACACTGTTTGGGCAGGACATCCAGGCCAAAAGCACACCTTGCGCTATTAGAGTCATCATATTATTGGCCGCATATGAGGGATGATATTGACGTTTACGTCCGAACATGTCTGGTGTGCCAACAAGACAAGGTTGAACACAAGGTTCCGGGAGGCTTGCTTGAGCCATTACTAATGGCAGAGAAACCATGGGATAGCGTCACAATGGACTTCATTACGTGCTTGCCAAACTAAGAAGGCTTTGGCACCATTATGGTGGCGGTTGATCGATTCTCAAAGTATGCAACCTTTACTGCCACCACCCTAATTGTAAAGCCAAGGAAGCAGCACACGTGTTCCTAAGGGACGTAGTAAAACATTGGGGCATCCCAAAACACATCATAAGCGACTGTGATCCCCGGTTCACCGGTGCCTTTTGGAGGGAGTTGTTCAACTTGTTGGGATTGGAGTTACACTTCTCCACTAGTTTTCACCTACAAACAGATGGCCAAACGGAGAGGATCAATGCGCTCTTGGAGCTTTATTTAGGCAATATGTTAGTGCTAATCAAAAAGATTGGGCCAAGCTACTGGACATTGCCCAGTTTTCATACAACTTACAGCGTAGCGAGTCAACCGGGAGAAGCCCTTTCGAACTTGCAATGGGATAACAACCTAACACTCCCCAGTCTTTGCCCGTGGATGCAGAGTTAAGAAACCCAGGGGCGTTTTGTATGGCGAAAGCTTGGGAGGAGCAAGCGGACATGGCAAGGTCGTATCTAGATAAAGCTGCCCGAAAAATGAAAAAGAACGTTGATCAGAAGAGGCATCAGGTGAACTACAGAATTGGGGATAAGGTGATGGTGAAACTCAATCCCCAACAGTTCAAATCATTGAGGGGCGTCAATCAAAGCCTGATTCGGCGCTATGAGGGGCCATTCGAAATCACTGCCAAGGTTGGCAAGATTTCTTTTAAACTGGACATGCCTCATCATTTGAAGATTTACCCCGTCTTCCATACTAGCCAACTCAAGCCATACTATGAAGACAAGGTTGACACAGAGCAGGGGCAATCCAGTCGTGCCCAAATTTTCATTACCCCTTCAACCATTGACAAGAAAGTTGAGGCAATTATTGACCATCAACTGGTTCGAGGCAAAGGTTGGGGCAATTCAAGTGCCCAATTCCTCGTTCATTGGAAGGGACAATCACCCGAGGAGGCATCATGGGAAAAGTACGAGGATCTATGGCAGTTCAAAGATCAAGTCCATGATTACTTGAACCTTTGTGGTGCTGCGGTCGTCGCCATTTCAAGTGAGGGAGAGTGTGCTGACCCGCTAAATTCGTTAATGATTTTCCTGCCTAAGGGGCCACAAACCGAGTCAAACCTGGCTGTCAAAGGCTAGGGAATCTCTGCACATGGAAAACACGGTCCCACGGCCCGCCAGGACAATCATTGCAGCCACTCTCTGCCAATAAAGACAAGTGCTGCACAGCTGGGTAAGGCCACAATCTGTCAGCACAATCATAAGAGCCAATCTGTGCCAGTAGGAATTAGTGCCCAGCAGCTGGACGGGGCCACAGGCAGAAAATCTGCCAACATAATGATGGAAGTCACTTAGTGTAGTGCCTCACAACTGGAAGGGTCCACTACCATCAATTCCCATCAGTAGGCATTTTTGTGTATAAATAGATATGCTCAGGCCTTGTTAGAAGGCAAATCTCATATACTTAGCCTGTACTTCTTTTTGTATATCAAGTAAATCAGAAAATTGGCCTTGGCCTCCAAACTCTTGTGTGCCTTTTACTTCATTATCTTTCCAGCCTTGTGTATTGCGCATTTTCCATTCCTTGAGCACGAATTTGTGCTTAATTTGGGTTAGGACTGAAGCTAGCAGCAGCATAAAGGNTATATATATATATATATTATAAAGCATGAATAAAATATTAGTTTATAAAAATAACCTTTTAATATTAAGCATAATAACTCATAGTAGAAAGACATAATTGAAATTCTAGACATTAGCCTTGTAATCCTATTAGTTTTAGAACATAATACACATTAATTAGGAATCCTACACGATTACCTTTAGGAATCCTATTAGTATAATTATTTTTGGGCATAAATATATAATACTACATATTGTAAACCTAATACCTTTAGGAACACGTTAGATTTCCTATTAGTACAATTATTTTCGGGATATGATCATATTTTTAGCTATGTAATCCTAGTACTTTTAGGATATACTTCTTAAAAAATTCTTATTACTAATTTAATTTAAAAATGTATTATAATGTCCAAATCTATCTAGAAACATAAGAGCCTATATATTATTATAAAAGCACAAATAAAATATTTATAAACCAAAATAGCTCTAAAATATTAAACAGAAGAACTCATAGGAAAATGACATAATTATTAACTTTTTTTTAGACTACAATAACTTCTACGTTAGTTTTTTTTAATATTTAAGATTTAAAATTAATACAATCTTGTCTATTGAATTCTATTAAAAATATATAGGAAGGTTTAATAAAATTAATTTTATAAGAATCTTCCATATTGGTAATACATTACCATTCTATAATATCCAATACCAAGAAAAAATAAAAGTAATAATAAACAGACTGCATAAAGCGTTGAAGTTGAGAAAACAATTCTCACGATAATATATTATTATATTATACTCTCTCCGTTTCAATTTATGTGAACCTATTTCCTTTTTAGTCCGTGCCAAAAAGAATTACCTCTTTCCTTATTTGGAAACAATTTACCTTTACAGAATGATTTATAGCCACACAAAATATATGTGCTTCATTTTACACCATA